ATAAACATTTGCCATAATTTTATAAATAATTATAGAAATAACTACATAAAAGTATGTTAATTGAATAAATGCTCGCATGTCCGACGCTACTCACATAATTATAAGGTTTTTTTCCAATTAATTGTGAGAGCAATTTATGACTGATTGATGTTTCTCAACAAACTATTATTATTAACTATTATTCTATGGAAAAATTTGCATAAAAAAATGAATGTAAAATGATGGAAAAGTCATATCTTTAATATAATCAATTACAATTTGTATAATATCCATAATTAGGGACATAAATTAATATTTTAATTGACACCGACACACAGTACTTTGGTATCAGACATTTTTCTGCGTAAAAAATAATCATCATTGATAATATTGCCTTATAATTTATTTCCCTAAATTTTCTCAATTCAATGCAACAAAAACACCACAACAATCTTATTTTTCATTCATATCGAGATAATTACCTTTACTGATCATACATGTATCGATGTTTCCGTTGACATTAATGCCATGATTTGTTAATAATCCTACATCTCATAGCTCCCAATAATAAATGGAAAACGAAGTATATTATTAATCATAAAAATGTTGCATATCAATTTTCAACGCTTTTAAGTCATGATATTGAACAAGAAAAATTTAACAATATATAGAAAAAAAAAATTAGCATAATGTATAATTCATTCATGACTAAATGAATCTTTAATTTGATTACAGTAAGACAATCAGATGAATACTATACATATTGCACCGAGAATAAAATAGGAAACATTTAATAATCATTTAAAATTTGTTTATATACAATTAGAATAAATATTATTTAATATATATTCACATATTTACTTATGTATTTAAAGAAGAGTCATAAATCATATCAATTATACAGTGTTTTAAGCATCATTTTACGATATGAAATTATAATTAGTACATACAGCAAATATTTTTCATTTAAATTTATTGAAAATGTGGCCCATCGTAAAATTTGAGGAATATTTCATTATTAGTTCTATTTGCATGTACCTGATTGGATGCAAACTTGGCAACATCAGGTAGTAGGAGTAGAGAGGAGGGTCGTAGGGTTTATAACCGAGGTGACCGACTCCTAAGAAGTCATTTAGAATGACAATTCTTCTTCAATTCTGACAAGTTAAGACGAACCATCATGTCAGAAGAAAAGAATCGTCAGGTAATCACTAAAACTATATTAACACGAAAATCTACTAAATCAGTCATAAAACGTATCGGAACAACCAAGGAGTTAATAAAAACTAAAGTAAAGGAAAAGAGAGTTACTGAAATCCACCTTCATAGTGAACAGATTGTCACTAATTCTCAGGACAATAAAACTGATTGCATGGAAACAGATTTGAAGTATCAAGATGTTAAGAGAGAATTGCCTTTAATAAGTACAGCGATACATCAACAATCTGAAGCACGACGAGTCAAAAAACTACGCACTCAATTAAAGGACCTCCTTCACAGTGTTGTGCGAGAGCTTACAATTACAGGGGGACGTGAACAACGACGTATTACTGCCAAAGACGTGGCAGAAGCTATAGAACGACATACAGATGCTGTTAACAATTAGGAAGAAATTATTGATCATCGGCCCTTTTCAGGGCCAATAAATTCTCTTGCGTGGTGACTGGAAAGTAATACATTCAATTGTTGGCTACTTGGTGCATCTAAATTAGAAATTACCATGTTTTAAAGTCTAATTAATATTATATTTGAAATAAGTCCTTTATTATATTATTATAGGTGTCCAAAGTACTAACATATTTATTTTCGAAAAATATTAAGATTAAGTTTTAAACATTTTGAAAGATATTTATATTGAATGGAAATACTTGCATACTTATTCTATGTGTAATCGATTTTTCTTAAGTAATGCAAGACATGCTGAATCAGTATATTGTCTTTTATTGAGCAACTATTATTTAAATCGACGCAATTTAAAGTTATTTAACGAAAATTCATTTACTCTAAGTTTAATCAGTTATAAAAACTATTGTATAAAAAGTAAATAATTATTAAACATGTTAATGACTAGGTACATCCATTAACAGACATGGGAATGTCAATTATATTAAGAAATAATTGTGGCATGTATTGAAAACTGATTGTTTCTTGTTTGAAAATTTGATGGCCCTGAAAAGGGCCGTTGGTCTATGAAGCAGTTTAAGCTCGCTCTCCTCGAATACGACGAGCAAGTTGAATGTCCTTGGGCATGATGGTTACTCGTTTAGCGTGGATGGCGCACAAGTTGGTATCTTCGAAAAGACCAACGAGATATGCTTCGCTGGCTTCTTGAAGAGCCATCACAGCTGAGCTCTGGAATCTCAAGTCAGTCTTGAAGTCCTGAGCGATTTCACGAACAAGCCGTTGGAATGGCAATTTACGGATGAGTAACTCAGTACTTTTCTGGTAGCGACGAATTTCTCGTAGAGCAACAGTTCCAGGTCGGTAACGATGAGGCTTCTTAACACCTCCAGTTGCAGGCGCACTCTTACGAGCTGCCTTGGTAGCGAGTTGTTTTCGAGGAGCTTTACCTCCAGTCGATTTGCGAGCAGTCTGCTTGGTACGAGCCATGCTTGTAGGATTCTTTTAACGTGGTTAGGTTAGCGACGTCAACAGATATATAACTGACGAGGGTCTGGCCGGTCGTTTATATACTTTCTCAAACACACTACCACGTGATTGGCTAGTGTAGTAGAGAGGGGCGATCGACTTTGTTGGAAAGCGATTGGTGGTTCGAATGTAGTAGGGATAATGTCGTGAATGCTATATAAACCCTCCGAAATTGAGTTTCGTCATCTATCTCGATTTGAAGTTTCTGTTGCTATCATATTCAACTGAATCATCATGACTGGTCGTGGTAAGGGAGGAAAAGGACTTGGAAAAGGAGGCGCCAAGCGGCATCGTAAAGTGCTTCGTGATAACATCCAAGGAATCACGAAACCCGCCATCCGTCGTCTTGCTCGTCGAGGTGGTGTGAAACGTATTTCTGGATTGATCTACGAAGAAACTCGTGGAGTCTTGAAAGTCTTTCTTGAAAACGTGATCCGCGATGCAGTTACTTATACTGAGCACGCTAAACGTAAGACTGTCACGGCTATGGATGTAGTCTACGCACTCAAGCGTCAAGGACGTACACTCTACGGATTTGGTGGTTAAACATCAGCTCTTAAAAACAAACGGCCCTTTTCAGGGCCATCAAATTTTTTCACGTGAAACCAATAGTTGTTAATACCTTGAAAAACCTAACCTAGAATCTCATCTATTTATTCTTACTTATTTGTAATATTTTATAATACTATGCAAGCTAAAGTTATCTTAATGTTATAAAACATGAAGATAACTTAATCGAACCTGGATTAATAATTATCTTATGTATAAATCTGGATTATCTGGGTTAATGAATAAATTTTCCATATAGTTTGCTGCATTTCTAGACAAGTACATGAAAATAATTTAAAGTAATTAATTTAGTATTATTGATTTTATTATAGAAATAAATACCCATCAGCAAATAATCAAGTAAATACAATGTCAACAAACATGTTATTTTACTTTCATACGCTCATTAAATTGTTTTCTACACATTAACATGAACCCATTAATAGCCAAAGTATTGTTACAGCAATGAACTCATCATCATTAATAAAATACTTCTATTTAAACAAATACGATTAATGTATTAAAATGTCCATTTTTCTAGTACATACTAGAATGATCTCATTGAAATTACATCTAATAAGTACTACAATCACATCATAGTTAAGAAATTGCATTTTTTTTGTTCATCTACAGAAGTCACAATAGATGGCATTAGAGTCCCCTTCCTTATTCATGAAAACATTATTCGGACATATCACTGCCACCTATTCTCCATAATACACAATGCAAACACGTAATCAACGTATTTACCAACAACACATACTAATTATTTAATAACAAAGTTAGTTAAGTCGTTTATTAAATTACTTTATAAAAGAATATTGGCTCTATGACGGTTGAATAGGTAGAGAAGCTTCTTAAAACCGTAAGCATCATGAAAATAATTTTGAAATCAATTCACTGCAGATGATAATAATTTTAATAACAGAAATTAAAGTATGACATTTTATTGTAATTTACATTGTGGTTGTTACATAAATATTTTAACTTGCTACTAAAGCCTGAACACAGCAAGTTTATTGATAAGATACATATGCGGTTTTATACGAGTAGAATTTAATATTCTTATTTATAAAATATTGTAAAAGTCGTAGCTCAATGTCAATCAATGTAGCTTAATTCTTAATTAAATTCACAAAGAATAAAATTATTTAAATACTCTAGACAAATAATTAATAAGAACAAAATAATAAATGACCTCAATGGACAAAAAAAATTATCTACATAATTTTATACCAAAAAGAACATTACGATAATATTCAGGTAAATGAGTAAGTCATCATATTATCAATAACGAATTCAGAAGTTTTCATTTTCGCAGCAGAGTAATGTGCACACTTTTAAGTATAACAGTTCAAGGTTATGGAACTACTTGATGTTTTTGAAATGTAGTTTACATCTATAATCTAAATGTTCCTTCACCTGAAGAATTGATAAATAAAAATAATGTTAGAGCTTGGAAATTACATGCTGGTTTTGATATTAATACATCACGAAATTCAGTACATTTTCTTAAATAGCTTTAGCAACCATCAAGGTTCTGAGAAGTCATTCAAACATGACAGATAGGATTCCAAGCTTTGTTTCATTTTAATCTCTTACCATGTGAAAAAGTCACAACTCCATGGGACCTTCAATCATACCTTTGTTCATAAGTTTATTGATCATGCGGGTAGGGTCTTAAACGTGATCCATCTACTCCATAAATCTGAGCGTTAAATGTAGTAAAATTAATATTGAAGGTAATATACCTAGAATTTTAACCCAAGAGGTCAATAGTTGTATAATTATGCTAGTACTTGAAATTTTCTTCGTAAGAAATATTTGTTGGCCCTGAAAAGGGCCGTTTTGTGTATGTAGAAGTGTTTTAGGCACTGCTTTTCTCTGTCTTCTTAGGTAAAAGTACGGCTTGGATGTTCGGCAGCACTCCACCTTGAGCAATGGTAACTCCAGAAAGGAGTTTATTTAATTCCTCATCGTTACGGATGGCCAATTGAAGATGACGAGGAATAATCCTAGTTTTCTTGTTGTCACGAGCAGCATTACCAGCTAACTCAAGGACTTCAGCGGCTAGGTACTCCATAACGGCAGCAAGATAGACCGGAGCTCCAGCTCCAACACGTTCAGCGTAGTTGCCTTTCCTCAGCATACGATGGATACGTCCAACTGGGAATTGAAGTCCAGCTCGAGATGAACGAGTTTTGGACTTTCCCTTTGCTTTTCCTCCTTTACCACGACCAGACATTTTGTGATATGTAGCAGAAGATTATTCGTTGTCGAGAGAGAATAATTTGTGCCGATGGAAGACCAACGGTGCATACTTATGAAATCCGTGGTGTACCTCCGAGCCAATCAGAACTCGATTCTCCCTTCCCCAGTGCCACAACCGTTACAAAAAGAAACTACTGCGCAATTAAACTTGATGTACCTCCGAACCAATCACAAGCGTTTATTTTTTATTAGCTTTGCTTAGACGTTTAATACGCACTAATTCTAATTTTTAAATGTAAATAAATCAATAATATTTACATAGAGCGTAGAATTTCGTGACGCCTCTAAATCTTTTACAAATCAAAATTAAACTGGAAAAATTAATACTTTAACATGCTCGTATTTACTGGCACTATCTTTTTTCTTGAAAAGTCGAATAAAAAATATGAGTTCGTTTAAGTCATTCTAAGAAAGTGAAAATGTATTGCATATTATATTTCAAGGAACTTATGTCGATGCTAAACGAGAGAGAAACAATAATTTAGAAAGTAACAGCTACATTTATTTTTACTTATAAATATTAGCAGCGATTGCGTTTGTTGAAATTCTAAAATATTAAGGGATAGCATTTTTTGTTTACTTCTATTTGTCGTTACTTGAAAAAATTTCCAGTCGTAACAAATTATTAATATTTTACTTGAAGCAAAAATGTTTATCTGTACGACTTGAACAGTATGTTTTCTATTTTTCCCAATAGTGATATTATTTATGGGTACCTCAGAACGGGCCTAAGTTACCCCGCCTGGTTACCCGGAAGACCTGCATAAAACTTTCATTGAAAAAGTATTTCGAGTGGACTAATTATCTGTAGTAAAATAACCTGCAGGGCCTACACTATTTACATTTCAACTAAATGCTGGTAGTATGAAACTAAGGAAATTTTGCCTAGAATTTTCATGATTTTGCAGGATGATATTCTATTTTGCAATAAATAAAATGCGTTAATTTTTTGTTATTCATTCTATCAGTGTAACATATCGTAGATTATAATGACATTAATTACAAATAATGAATTTTTAAAAAGTGAAATACATTTTCATCTGAGAAAAAAGAATAAAGTTAGTCCTTTTATAATGAATCCCGAGTCAAAATATTACACCTAAATTTATTCTCCTCATACGATTCCCATCCTTTCTATCTTAGACTCATCCATTTTCTCTTAATATTATTCTGTTTCATTTTTTGAGTAAATAAAAATTTACTTTGTCATCCTTCTAGAGTAGGTAAAAATTAGGATATAGACAGAATAATCTGATTTTAACCCCACAAATTGATTCGCTAGTATCTAGAAGTATTTATGGAAATAGTTGGGAAAAGGTTACGATTCGTATGATGGATTCTTTTTCCAAAAATTATATTGATTAAAAATTAAATTGTTTTAAATTCTTTTTTGCAAACTGATGATGAGTTAAATGAAACTGCTCTCTTAAATATGAACATGGTCAATATTGTAATAACTCCCATTACAGTCATACTTTTTTTAATAACACTTGTGATTTTAATGGTAATGGACAGCCCAATTAGAATTGAAATAAAATAAATAATTATAAATAATAATTTTTTTGTTAAAATTCGATTAAAACCAGGAAAAGTATAAAATAAAAGAAGGATGAGTTTAGAATAAAATCAAGAAATTTTTGCCCTATGAAAACACTAATTTGTTGTGTATTCCGACTGTAATTGAGATTTGTTTATCTTAAACCTTGAGAAAGGATTGTCTTAGGATAAAAATAAGTGCTACGATTAGACTCGAGACATCTTATAGCTCCCAATAATGAATGTAAAACAAAGTATGGTATTAATTATAAAAATGTAGTATACCAATTTTCAACGCTTTTAAGTCAAGATATTAAATGAGAAAAATTTGACAATATATAGAAAAAATAATATTAGCATAATGTATAATACATCCATGACCAAATCAACTTTTAATTTAGTTCCAGTAAGACAATTAGGTAAATACGATATATATTACACCGAAAATAAAATAGGGATGTATGTATGTATCTATTGGTATTCGTTCAGAACTGTATTAATAAATTTAACCCCATAATTATTTGTTATCTAATTGTAACAAAAGGTGTCATTGAAATAAACATTTTATCTAATAAAACTCTGATACATGTAAAAAAAGAAGGCTAGAGGAGCAATAATTTTCAATAATATAAAAGAATAATTCTTATACCATTGTATTATATTAACTATTGGAGCATTACTGTCTTGTTAATTATTTCCGAAGCTCGAAAATGTTAATTAAAAAAATTAATTACCTATCTTATTAACAAGTGAATAAGCTTATTATTTCAATAACTACTAAAAATACTCTATCATCGACCAAGTCTTTAACATTCCACAAATGAAATACAATAATTAGGTGATTTACTATTAACATCGTTGATAAAATTAACAATTTAGTGTAAATATGCTCAATTTATGAAGTAAAATTATTCTCAAATCACAATGAAATCTTTTTTTGATGCTTTTTAATGTGCATTTGATAAGAAATAACTACTATTTGCAGTGCATCCATATTAATTTTTCTCTTCGTGTGTAATGTTAAAAATAAAAAGGGGATTTTTAAAAATTTCTGGAACCGAGGAAAAATCTACATTTTCTTTTCTACGACACTCGTTCAGAAAATATATTGAAAAATTTACCTACAAAGATTTTCTCATTGGGTGCTAATTTCTCCGGAACAGGTAGTGGGAGTAGAACGAGGGATGCGGGAGGTATAAATAGGACTAAGGATTTTGCAAGGGTCATACCAAATGGGCTTTTCTAAACTTTTTACCCAAATTGTACAACACAAAAACATGAATAAAAACAATAAACCCCTAAATATCCATAAAAAAAACACATGAACACGTAGGTAAATTTTCAACTAGAAAAAGGAACTCGTTATGTAATAAATAAATGTAAAACCTTATGTAATACTAATGATCAATAAAGCAAGGGTCATACGTCCTTTGACACTTGCCAGTGATATACTTGTCTCGATCCTGAATTTTTTGAACGAGATGGCGAACTACAGAAACATTGGAGATCTCTCAACGAGCATACTTGAAATGGAGATCGAAGAGTTCTATTGGAGGCATAAACCGTTGATGACATCAACACCAGAGCGAGAGTGTTTATCAACTTCCAACACTGACGTGACAAAAAGCAGAACGTTATTCCCGAAGGATGAAAGGAAAAGAAACCTGAGATTGTCGTCGAGAATCAACCTTAAATGGTCATTAAAGTGGTTCCTGCGGCAATTTGTAAAGTCGTTATTGAATATGTTCCTGCAATTCAGCAGATAGTAATCACTAAAAAGATTCTGGAGGCTTTGTATTAAGTTGCGCCTGAACAACAACTTACCAAGATTCAAATACTAGCCATCGTAACTAGTTACGAATTGGAAAAAGTTTTAGCTCATGAAGAATAATTCATGAGCATCATTTAAACCAATGGCCCTTTTCAGGACCGACAAATTATTCTAACGTGAGTTCTCCAAGAACAATACATTATCATCTAACCTAAAAACTAGTTTCAATTTTTTTATCTATGGTGAAAATTCAATTCATTATTTTAAATTCTTTTTCTTGTTATTTATTTAATTATATTCTGACGAGATTCATGACGCACGGAATAAATTTTTTCGAGTATTTTTTCCGTACTCTGAATCTCGTCAGAATATAATTAAAAAAATAACAAAAAAAAGAATTTCAAATAATGAATTGAATTTTCACCATAGATAAAAAAATAAAAACTAGTTTTTTTTAAAGATTTGATAGAAATGTCTGTTGGAAATCGTTAAAAACCCCCTTTTTTACTTTTAACATTATACACGAAGAGAAAAATTAATATGGATGCACAGCAAATCGTAGTTATTTCTTATCAAATGCACATTAAAAAGCATCAAAAAAAGATTTCATTGTGATTTGAGAATAATTTTACTTCATAAATTGAGCATATTAACACTAAATTGTTAATTTTATCAACGATGTTAATAGTAAATCACCTAATTATTGTATTTCATTTGTGGAATGTTAAAGACTTGGTCGATGATAGAGTATTTTTAGTAGTTATTGAGATAATAAGCTTATTCACTTAAATTTATCAATACAGTTCTGAACGAATACCAATAGAGCCATAGATGCATACATACATTCCTATTTTATTTTCGGTGTTATATATATTGTATTTACCTAATTGTCTTACTGTAATAAAATTAAAGGTTGATTTGGTCATGGATGTATGATACATTATACTAATATTATTTTTCTACATATAGTTAAATTTTTAACTTCCCAGTGGGAAGTTATAGTAGTGGGTCCGATTTTGCAAGTCGCTAATTTTGATATATCTCCACGTTTTAAGGTCCCCAGAGTTGAATACGATAGTTTTTACGTGGACGTCTGTGTGTGTGTATGTACGTATGTGCGTTCGGAATTATTTTTCGCCTCGATTATCTCGAGAACAAAAAATGATATCGATGTGGGACCAATTGCATTCGACGCGTAATTACGTAACTTAGAACTGAAAAAGTTTTCAGGAAAATCGGTAAAGCCATTTTTTTGGCAGAATCAAGAAACTGGAGAAAAAGGAAATTACTTGAATTTTGCAATTTATAAATTATACCATTTTTTAGACAAAATTTCAAGATCATTGCAGAAATATGAATATTAAATGATTGGAATACTTGTATGGATATATGATGACAATATTTCATCTAAAAAAAAAAAATTTAAAAAACAATATCAGCAATGAAAGAATTTTAAACTCGTGTTAGGATTAAGAAAACAGCATTAAAGACGCTATAATAGTCAATAATAATTGTCAATAATATGGAATTGTGTTCATAACAATTGAACATTGTTACTAACAAGTGATTATTGATCATAGTAATATTTCAATAATAGGTTTTGAATTGTTATAAACAATAAAAATAGGGACCCTTTCTATATATATGAGTACTTTTAACGCATAATTTTTTCGTTTACTAAAAAAATGTTACCAACCGTATGCCATAAATGAAAACATACTTTTTT